TTTAATGTGTGTGGATGTTAAATCTATTTCAAGCATCTATATCAAATTAAGACAGAGGCATGTGGGAAATCTAAGGTTTATTTGAGTTTCTTTTCATATAATTATGTATTAGATTAAAATGTATGGCCTATCTACTACAACTATAAATATATCAATCTATTTAATTTATTGTTTACCTTATAGAATACTAAATAAATAACAATTGACATTATTAAAAAACACCTTTATATCTGCAATCAGATTGTTAATCTTTATTTTGAAATGTTTGTTTGTATAAAGAATCTCTTGGGAGCATAACCTGTACCTCAACCACTGCTCTTCGAACTGTCAAATTTAAGTATTTACAGCTGACTTATATTAATTCATATATTTACATTAATTCAAAATGTAAACATGAAAAATTTGGAAGCCCATGGAGCGTAGCCCAAGGGAAATATGAAAATTAAATGATATAATATTGCATTGTCTTCCATTTGTGAGCTATGTGTCAAGTTTCAAGTCTCTAGCTCATCGGGAAGTTAGTACTGTATAAATTCGATTGCAAAATTTGTACCGGACAAGAAAGCGAGCTAATAAAAACATTTTAAAATGTTTCGTCAGTCAGGATAATCAGGTATAGCTGGGTCCAGTTTCGAACTATCAAAAAGCTGCCAAACATGTCTCAGGATCGAACCGACGACCTTTTGATTGTTATTCGAGCATTTTAACTAATCAGCTACATAGCTACTTTTTGTCTCATTGCAATATTTTTAACGAACCAAGTTAGAAAGGGATCTTTTTGGGCAGCAAAAGCAGCCGTTTTAATGTATGCTTCGTGGGTCTAAAGTAGCATTAATTTTACTCTCTAGGCCCAAGGGATTAAAAAACTTATTTAGCCCCTAAGGAGTAAAAATCTGCTATTATCGACTCAGTTGTAAATTTCGATTTAAACAATCGCATGTATCGAAAGTATATATTGATTTTTAATCGATTTTAGCTTATTGTTGCCTTATTGTAGTTAGTTCATCATACGAGCAAAAGGCGTCTTTTCAACCCTCGCTCATTTTCCGACCTCGGCTTCGCCTCGATCGTGAATCATTAGCCTTTACGCCCTGGTGATGGAATATACTATTTATGTAAAGACCATCTCAAAACGACTTCCAGCTTGTTTTCAATCCTGCTAATGTTAATCAGCAGCTGTTTAGTAAGTGTATAAAAAATGTTGTCTATTTCAATAATTGTGTTACTGTTTACAGTAACAGACTGCTGCTGTACATAAGTATTGACAAGAATGCAACAATAAGCTAAAACCTAACCTAATAAATCAATCGATAAATAATTTTGATCCATCGAAATTACAACTGTTAACAACAAGCTGACTTTTACACCTTAGGGACTAAAAAGGCAAGGGAAAATCGCTACTTACAAATAGTGTAATTTTTAATTGTCAAATAATAATCCGCCTATTCAACTTAGAGAGAGATACTGTTTAATCAATTAAAAATAATATAATTGGAAGAAGTAAAGACATATTTTTTATGCCAGAACTATTTTTAGAACCAACATTTTCTTTTGTTATAAAACAAACCACAAATTTCATATACAATCACGTAAATTCAAGACTTTAAACCCAACTATCACGTAGTTATTGTATAATGAATAAAAGAAGGTGTAGAAGACGACATTTGCATGATTCTTCTACAGAATGAGGTCAAGTGATACTTATACAACATAGGCTGAATAAACTCTTGAAAGGCCCAGAGGATGCTTTTTGTTGTTCCTCACTTTCGTCTCATATATTTTTTAATCGTAAATAACCCCTGCCGCAACAAACCTACAGACTAAGAAAATTCCTGTTTACCTTATTATATTTTTTTGCCAAAATATCTCCTTAAAAATGTCAGATTGATAAAATTTCAATAAAATTTGTTTAATATGAGTTCATTGGTCTGCTGCTACAGGAAAGGTATATTAAAAATTAATAAAGTTTGCAAATTCGATCCAAATTTGTTCATAAACAAGCTAACTAAAAAAGTTTATTTTATATAACAATAGCTATATAGAATATTAAATTTACATTTTTTTAGGGGTTTTCCATAAAAGGTCATAGCATTGCTTCAATGCCTTCAATATACAAAATTGCTTGTTTTAAGGTCTACAAATTGTTATCAAATTATTAAAAGAGAAATTGCAAAATTTTATGTTTTTAGGGTCAAAAAAGGGAAAACCAATTTTTACCCCTTAAACTCCTGTTTCCATAGTCCACTTTAATAAGTAGGCTACCTATAGGTTTGCTGCTACAGGGAAGATTATAAAATGTGATATTTTGAATCAATGTTGACCCGTGGTGGCCAACAGTGTAATTTGCTCAGCATTTGTTGATAGCTAGGGTCAGTAATAAAGATTACTTTTGAAACTTTGACTTGCCTACTATACGCTCCCGGTCAAATTAAATTGTAATTGTATTGATAGATGTAGGGGTTATGGAAAAATAGTAGTTTACGCAACGATTGCGTAAAGATAGTGTTAACGACACGAGTAGAAAATTTAAGGCACGAGCCTTGGCGAGTGCCTTAAAAACTTCTACGAGTGTCGTTAACATTATTTACGCGAGTTGCGTACACTATTTTACCTACGACGTTGTTTTAATTACTAAAAATCACTACTCATAACTTCTAAAAGAGGTAATGTTTTCGTTTATAACCTCTCATTGCCACTGACAGTGATGCAACGAAACATTGTATCAAACACTAATTGCACCAATCAACAATTAAATTGGCCTGAACAGCTGATTAGTTGAATTTCGAATCATTACAATTTTACTTCTCCTCTCTCAATCCTTGAACCTCATTGGTCCGTTACCCGTGTTGTTATGAGTAAAACTATGCTGTTATGAAAGTAAACAATGCTGTTATGAGATACTTTTCAATTCTATGAACTGTACTGAAACGGCTACTTTGAAAAACGGTCGTAGGTAAAAGGATTTTCCTACAGTTACCTAACAATGTACATGTTCTCTCACTGATTTGAGAAAGCAAAGTGGCCAATTCGCTCATCAGTGAGACAATGTTAACATTGTCTCACTCTAATTACTTTGTCTCACTCCAGATTTGCAACGTGAAGGCACGAAATAGTGAGCGCGTAACATGCAGGCAACGTCGTATGCGCGCGAAATACGTTGGCAGCACTGGCTGTAAATCAGCTGGTCAGCTGTTGTACTGTTGTATTTGTCACTTCACATTAAATGTTATATTAAAAGTTCACTTCTGTGTAAAAATAGGTTATGTTTCTTCACAAATTTATTTGTTTTATGGTAACTGTAGGAAAAGTATAATGTGCAACTCGAGTTCAAAGTACAATTGCCTCACTCGAGAAACCATTCCTCACTCGCCTACGGCTCGTGAGTAAGAATTTCTCTCGAGTGAGTCAATTGCTCACTTTTCTCACTATTTGCACAAATAACTATTTATAACTGGAATGAGACAAAGTTATTAAAAATCGTTCTAGAGGTTTTACAGGATTGAGTTACAAATCTATAACTTACTAGAGGTCGTCCAGTGGTCGAAAACTCGACCAAAAATATGTAATGTACTCTATTATAAACAATTGTAGCCATTGATTATTGTAGCTATTCATATCCAAACAGGTTGCCGCAAACCGATTTCAAATATCTCAAATAGTTAAAAAGATAAAGGGGGTGCAAGTTAATTTTCAGCCACCCTCATGGTTATTTGGATTTGATACGTTTTAGGGCGCCATTTTGTTATTAGTGGGCCGATTTTCGTTTTCTTTATGTCAATTGTTTCGTTTCGTCAAGACCTGTAAAATGATACCCAACTCGACCATACTTCCTGTTTGAAAACTTTAAGCTACCTACCCCCAACTCCCACTACCCCTAAGGGCAACATTTTTTAAATTACCCATCATTATTGTAGCCATTCATATCCAAACAGGTTGCCGCAAACCGATTTCAAATATCTCAAATAGTTAAAAAGATAAAGGGGGTGCAAGTTAATTTTCAGCCACCCTCATGGTTATTTGGATTTGATACGTTTTAGGGCGCCATTTTGTTATTAGTGGGCCGATTTTCGTTTTCTTTATGTCAATTGTTTCGTTTCGTCAAGACCTGTAAAATGATACCAAACTCGACTATACTTGTCATTTGAAAATTTTGAGCTACCCCCGCTAACCCCAAGGGCAAAATTATCAAAATTTACCATAATTGTAGCCCCTCATATCTAAAAAGGTTGCCGCAAACAGATTTTGAATATCTCAAAGTTAAGGGGAGTTCAAGTTACTTTTCAGCCACCGCGTATAGATACTAATAGGCAAGCATGTTTCTATAAAACTTTTTTCCTCAGCTCGTGTTTTAAAGAAACATGTTTGGCTATTAATATATTAATAGGCAAGCCCCTGCTGTTGTACATCTTAGGGAAAATCTGCGCATATTTTTTGAAATAAATTTTTCTGTAGATGCGCAGAATCCCTTTATAAATTAAAATAGGCTTGAAATAAGCACAAAAAAATATTTAAAAAAACTAACATGGGCCTTATGGGTTGCTATGCTAGGGACGAAATATAAACAGAAAATCAAAACAATTGGAAGAAATTCCAATCACATGTTTTATTTACAGTGTGGGGTTAAAGTACATAAGTCTGTACATAATATACAATTTTTGGTAGAGTTTTCGACCACTGGACCACCTCTAATAAAAATGTTAACACACTAAAGTTTATTTATTCAAATTGAGATACACATGTCCGACATAGAACACTAAAGAAATGGCATGAATATTGGATCAGGGTTCTAACTCTTGAGTATCCTAGTGGGCATGAAATTATCCTACTGGTAACATAAATCATTCTACATTTTACAAGTGAATTTTCAGATTTGTACAGCAAAACATTGCCGAGACCCTTGGCAGTGGAAATTAATTAACAAAAATAGCTTATTACCAAAAAACCAAAGTAACTTTTGATTTTTGAGTCATCAACCATCATGTACGGTACTTCTGTTTCAGGTGTAAGTCATGCTTGGAAGTACTCTCCTACTGACAAGCCTGAAGGTATGAAACAACAAAGTTAAGTTGTCAAGTTGATGTGACGTAATGTGTCGGCCCTTGACAGTGTGAAGGGTGTGTTATTTATTTACTCGGCCCTGTGGCTGGTTTGTATTCACATAGCTTTGGATCTTACTGACATCATTCCATGGTATTGTAAAAACTGCATTTTTGCACCAAACCTAGATACCAAACATGTTTCCATTTGCTTTGTTAAACCAGCAAGCAAATTTCTAAAAAAATAATTGTTACTTAGGACACATGCCAAACATATGAGTAAAAGGAATATTTGGTGAATAAGGTTTGCTGCTGTGAGAAAAAAACTAATTTGTGTTTTGTAAAAACCTGAACAAAATAAATATTTTAAATTTTGTGAGGATTATGCTGTACAGTATAGTAATATACAACAAAAATAATTAGTTTGCTAAGAAGGAAACATGTTGTGTATGTTTAGCATTTTGGATAAGCAATAATGATAACTTTTTTTAATAAAGAAAATTAAAATCATTTCTAAACACAGGCAGGTAATTCAGGGCCGATTTACCGAATAGGCACGGTAGGCACGTGCCTAGGGCGCGAGGCAATTGGTTTTTTTTGGGGGCGCCAAAAAATTGGAAAATAAAAAAATTGTGGTTGTATTTGCATGCGATCGCGGTAAACTTCTGATGATCCCTCGCGGCCGTGTAGACATCGTAATCGTCTCCCGCGATTGCGGCAAAATTCTGACTATTTTCCGCGGTCGTGTAGAAATAATTATCGTCTTCCATGATCGCGGCAATATATGAACATATTCCGCGTCGTGAGGAGATTGTCATCGTCTACCGTGAATGAGGCAAAATTCTTATCTTTTACCGTGGTCGTGTGGACATTATCATCGCCTTGCGCGATCGTGGGCAAAATCTGATCAACACTCGCGGCCGTAAAGACATCATTAAGTTGTCACCCGCGGTCATGTAGATATGGTAATCGCCTCCTGCGATTGCAGCAAAATAGTATTAATCTCCCACGCTCTTTAGGAGATCATTAGGCCTACCGTCTTCCGCAAATAAGGCAAAAAATTTTGATATTTTCCTGCGATCGAGTGGACGGACATTACATATTCTTGCGCGATCGCAATAAAATTCTGATTACCCCTCACGGCCGTGAAGACATCTTTATATTGTTCCCAGTGATCGTTTGAACATAGTAATCGCATCCCGCCATTGGGGCAAAATGGTAATCATCTCCTGCGACCATGTGGAGATCATCGTCTTCCGTCAATGGAAAAATTCTGATTTTTTCCCGCGGTCATGTGGACATTATCATCGTCTTGCACGATCGCGGCATAATTCTACATCCCTCTCGTAGGCCTATTATTATTGTATCTCCCGCAGTCCTGTAACCATCCTAATCATCTTCAGCGGTCGTGAAAACATCCTAATCGCCTCCCGCAATTGCGGCAAAATGTTAATAATTTCCCGCAGTTGTGTGGAGATCATTATCGTCTTCGGCGATCGTGGGCAAATTCTTGCTGTTTCCCGCGGTCGCGTGGGCATTATCATGGTTTTCCGTGATCGCGGCAATATTCTGATCATCCCTCGTGGCTTTGTAGATATCATCATGGCGGTCTGTTGTTATGCGGGATTACGGAAAAATGACAATTCCAGGTAGAAAATACAAATTTAATGCATAATTCCCGGTTTAAAAAACTCACTCATAATTCACGGATTTCCCAGTTTTCCCGATTTGTGGACACCCTGTTATGTATATTGCAAAGGGGCGCTACTATTAGTTGTGCCTAGGGCGCTGACAGGGTCAAAAACGGGCCTGAGGTAATTTGACACTTGCAAAACAAAGAGGTGTTGGTACATAGGCTCATCATAATATGATGAGCCTATGTACCAACACCCCTTTGTTGCTTGCAAAGAACAATTTGTTCTTTGCAAGCGTCAAATTGTTACATTTACAAGATAAAATTGTATTTTTCAAAGCCTTGAACTTGTATATGGGTACAAAGAAGTACATGGTGCATATAAACACCAACATGTTTAAGGCAAAATGTGTGTACAGGGTGGCCAGGATTATGTATTGATGGCACCAGACAGTCGCCTATAGACTTAGTCGCAGAAACAGCTGAGCGCTTTGTGGTTGAGCCTCTAGAGTTTTTCAACTTCAAAAGCCTTAATGGGACCCTAGAAAACAACGGTCATTCCAGTAAGTGTTTGTAAGATCTTGAGCAATGGGTGCAATTTATAATTTTAGGTTTTTTTCATAGATGATCATAATCAAAACTATCGGAGGAACTTTTCAATATATTACCTTTGACTATCAAATTATCTTGGCATGTAGACACTAAAAATATTAGGTGACATAAGGTTTGTATAAAAAAATAAAGGTTCATGTGATATTGTCAAATAATATATGATCCTGTTACATTAATGTGACAACTTAATTTAGTACGGCTAATTGAACAGGACCATTTCACAGTGGTAGATTTTAGATACTATGTTTTGTGTATTTTACTATGTATTACATGATAAAAACTTAACTTTGCTTCAACGATCCAGAGCTACTCATCAAGAAACACAGAAAATAATGTAAAGGAAAAAAAAAGAAATATTAATTGATTGATTTGATATTTATATATACTTATATTATTATAAATATATTATATATATATATATATTAATTTATATATCTCTGCAAATTTATATATTAAGGCAAGCATGTTTCTTTATAACCTTTTTTCTCAACTCGTGTGTATCAAAGGAGAAATCTACACATACTGTTGGAAATATATTTTCATGTAGATGTGCAGAATCCCTTTGTAATTGAAATAGGCTAACAAATCAGCACATAAAATGATTTTAAAATTTAAAAAACTTAACATGGACCTTATGGGTTGCTATGCTGGTGTTGTAATAATAATGCAACATAAACAGAAAATCAAAACAAATTGAATAAATTTCAATCACATGTTTTATTTACAGTGTGGGGTGGAAAATGGAGAATTCTGTACATATCATATTTTTGGTCGAGTTTTCGACCATTCCCTATACAGAATATAATTCAATATTCCATAAAGGTGTGAAACCACAAAAAGTTGCCTCCTGGTGGGATTTAAATAAATTTAATTTAATTTATGCAGAACCTATGAGGACATTAATCACACAGAGCCTGGGCAGTGAAAGATTTGATGTTAGGTGTGTAGGTCAATATAATTAAGTTACCTCAGAAGTCCGTAAGTGGGATCGGAGAGATCTGTCAACTGTCCTACTCCAATCACCTTGTTGAACTTGTTTCTAATATGCTAATCTTCTTAAAATTTACTAGTGATGTGACACTCTGAATTTGAGAAATTATAACTAACTTACCTGATTATTGAATCTTAGATTGATGATAAATTGTTCAATATTGTCCGATTTTACTGACATATTTATATTATCTTTTGTTGATATTTGGATAATTAAATAAAATGCAATAAATCAAGTTGAATATATGATAGTATGTTCGGTTAAGCCGTTACTCTTAAAAATGTGTCACTCTTGAAAAAAAATAATCCTAGGATCAAACTGTAAGAGAATAAAAGATGTTATTTGAAAAAAGAATGTGTTTTGAGCTATTAATTAAATTTACAATTCACACAATCAGCAGGGATGATACAAAACTTAATCGAATATAGTCAGAGAAATACCTAATTATTTCCAAGTGGAGGATATGATTGTGATATAATTTGATTCAATCCTATATACCCCACTAATATGCTCTGTCCCAGGAAAAAAAGAAAAACTAATTTATTAATTTATTATTGAGATCAGCAGACTCCCCAAGTATATTTTATACAGCCGGCCGGTTGTATGATATTGCAATAGGGACTTGTTTGCCAGTGGACTATACTGCAGTACCACTGCGATGTTCAATACAAAAAGGGGCCGATTGACTACTGAGTCAGATCTTTTTGGTAGGCTGTTTATTTGAAATTAACAATTTGACTCTAATGGGAGTCAATCCTTGTGATCTTTAAAGTTCCTCCTAGCCTTCAATCGTGGACCGTTTGCCTCTGAATCCCTCCTCTAAAAACACTATCAATCACTCGCACTGGAACAGATTTTTTGATTGACCAATAACTCAAGATATTAAATGTAATACAATAATTTCAGCTGTAATTACAAAAATTGACCTTTAACATAGAAATAAATAAACGGTATCAGCAATCTGACATATACTTTCTCCCATTAGCTTGTCGTCAACCTTTCTCATGGGTAAGCGATGAGAGTAACTATGATATTTAACAGGTAAAATCACAAAAGTTTCATTAACTTTTGAACAGTAATTTTAACAGGAATGAAGGGATTCAAAATTTTGTTTAGAATTATAATGACCATAACAGAAGAATTTTAATCAGTATCGGTTTTTTTCTATCCATTTTTCCGTGAATAAATTGGTGTTTTGTGGGAAAATAACATAAGTTTCAATAACTTTTTTGAACCATAATTTTTACAGCAATATGGGGGGTTGCACTATGTTGTTTGGAATTATAAGGATTATCACATAGCCTACTAATTTCAATCCAAACCGTTTTTTTAGATTGATTTTTACACTGGAACTGATTTTTTGATTGACTCGAGATATAAAATGTAATACAGTAATTTCAGCTGTGATTACAAAAATTGACCTTTAACATAGAAATAAAAAAAATATCTTTTAACACGGATAAATATTGATTTTAATTTAATTGGCTTTATAAATTCAATTTAATAGATATTTAAACTTCTAATAATTTCTACAAGAAACTTGACTTTACAATATGACGAATTTAATAAGTAGATAATATACATATTTCTGGGTTTGAGAACTTACCTAGCACAGGTCAATCACATAACATTCATACACGGACGATTTAAATAAAACTTTCCTTGGAGGATTTTTGTCAAAACCGGCCGAGTTTCCAACAACGGTTCTTTACGATTGTCCGGTTAATCAAGATAATTAATTTTTTTGGAGCCGGATTTGTTTAAAAAATAATTTTTTATTTCTGCGTTTCACACTCGATAATTTTGACAATTGCTGTCTGATTGAGCACGTACAATTTATTTTGAATGCTATATACCGAACTACAAATGAGTTTTTGTTTTTGATGAATTACTGACCTCGTCAACACGACTCTACGTCCGTCCTCCAAAGAGATCGTTGCACGCTTCTCCTTTCCACATTCAAACGTTTATCTATATATCCCTCCGCGATCGTTGGACAATGTTGTCCACTGTTTTGGCGCGGATTTTTAATGAGTGAATTCAAAATCGGCACAATAATTACTAAAGGACTGGTTTGAAGATAAAATAAAAGATAATATTTAAAACCTTACTGGCAAAATCACAAGTCTTCTGAGTTGAGACTAATTGAAATTCTGAAAGAAATGTCCACTGAAGAAATAACAGTCAGAAGAAAAGAAATACCTTCATACAAAGAATGAGGTAAACAGCATATAGTTGTCAATGGAAATATGATAATAAGCAGGTGGCGTTTGTTATAAGCCAAAGGTGACAATGCTGGGAACGAGCCAGAACGGTCTGTTCAACCAGAGGTTATTTCTGTGACAGAGTAGTTATATTTACATCAGGCCGAGGCAAATTGCTTCTTGACATAGGCCTGTGAATTCAAAAATTAACAATATTGCCAAATTAAGTTATTCTGATTTATTTCATGCTATTGGATCACTTCTGACTAAAATACTAAACGTTTCAAATAGTAACTCACCAAATAACTCCCTCAAGAAATACATGGGGAGCAAATTTAGTTTACCTATAAGCCAAGTGCAGCTGTAGATAAACATATGCCAATGCTTGATGTGAAATCTGTGCGTGCATACCTTCAATTTGAGACCTCAATCATAAAAATCTGTCAGGTAGAAGAGCCAAACAAACTGGAAAAAAATCCAAATTTAACTCCCTTTAGAAATAGGATACAAAATTAATTTATAAGCCAAGTGGGACTGTATATAAATATATGTCGATGCTTGATGTGAAATCTGTAAGTGCATATTTTCAATTTGAGACCTCGATAATGAAAATCTGTCTGGTAGAAGAGCCAAACGATCTCGGAAATGAAAAACAAAATTTAACTCTCATTAGAAATACATGGGGAGCAAATATCTTTTACAAGTCGAGTGGAACTGTAGATAAATATATGCTGATGCTTAATGTGAAATCTGTACGTGCATACCTTCAATTTGAGACCTCAATAATGAAAATCGGTGGATGGGGTAATAGACCCAAACAAACTCGGAAAAGAAACCCCAAATTTAATTCCCATAAGAAATACATAGGGAGCAAATTTCGTTTACTTATAAGACGAGTAGGACTGTAGATAAATATATGCAGATGCTTGATGTGAAATCCGTGTGTACATACCTTCAATTTGAGACATCAATCATGAAAATTGGTCGGGTAGACAAACAAAAAAGAACTCTGCAAAGAAAAACAAATTATTTGTCTATAACTATTGATATTTTAATAATAATTTTATATATAGCCTAGGAACAGCTGATCTTGGTCACAACTCAAGCTTCTCACATCCAAGCCACATCTTTATTGAAATGTAAACAGTTTGCATGTTTTTTTAACTAATTAGAACGCGGCAAAGAAATGTTACCTATAGGACACGACGAGAGAAAAGTTTTACATTTTATTTTCATTTAAACATTCCAAGGACCTGACGACAAAGAAATATTGCCTACTATTTGAATTATGGTTGGCGTAAATATTACAATGGAATAGTACAAATAAAACTGAACCAACACTGTGCTGCATTTCTTGATCAATCATTTAAACAAAGAGCCAATTTGCAAACTATGGAAACATGGGAAAGTCATAGAACACCACCAAGTAGAAGAAATAGAAATAATGTGTTTTTTTAGAATTAATAATCATTATTATGGACAACCTCATGTGGCTATGAGTGGGAAACATTTGTAGAAGACACTTAAAAACATGATCATCAGCTTTTGAAAAGTGATAAGATATTTACAAGAAATGTTGATTATATCGAACTGTTATGTACATCATGAGTATTTCCATTATCTTTGAGGCGACTCTTTTAAAGTAATCAGAAATTATGACTGTTATTTGTTTTAAAATAACGCCTGTAACACTTACCAATTGCTCGAATTCGAGCAACAGGTACACTAGTATTTGGTTAAAGGAGGTTTAAAATGACTGAAATAAGAAACAAATTGTAAACAAAACACTAGTTCTACAGTGCACCGGACAGAACAATAAAATTGGCTTCAGCTGTTTCATAAGGATGAGAAATCAACCAAGGGATTATCTTTTATCTATGGTTTCATTCTGAACCACAATAGCTTAATTTCACTCTGTTTACATCTTCAGCCACTTAGTTTCGTTCTGTGACTAGTCTGCAGTTTTGTGAGAGCCAATTCAGTGTGATTTATGACAGTTGCTCTTCAATTTGCTCATCTCCTTTCAAATGCTTCTGTTGATAGTTGCCATTCATTTTGATGAGGACCATTGTGACTCTGGGGTGACTGGAGGAATGTTGCGAGGACTTTACGTCCTACATGAAATGCACTTCCATTGGGACTCGGAACACACTGTAAATGGAGACAGGTCAGTATAGATACAATATAAAGTAACAATGTAAAGAATTTCATTACTTGCCTCGAAAAAGGCTGTTTTCAGGCAAAAAAACAAGCGCAGATATTGTAATTATTGGTTTTAGAATGGACTTTTGGATACTGTAAAGTCTGGATTATCCAATTGTCTATCTTAAGGATTTTGAAAAAAAAATTACAAAAAAGATAAAGAATTTTAATGAATTTGATGATTTTTTACAGGTTAAGAATGTTTTTTTTTTTACTTTCCAGTTTATTTGGCTTTTTCGGTTGTTCAATTTTTAACGCTGGTGGCTTATGCCGGATGATCAAAACTATCCTGTACCATTTGCAAAAGATAATCGTTTACATTCTGTTTAAAACAATTAAACAGGTCTAAATAAAATAAAAGTTTTAATAAATGGGTTCAGCAATTTGACACATCCCTTCAGCTTGTCAAAAACCTTTATCTTGAGTAAGCAGTGGGAGTAACAATGATAGTTTGTAGGAAAATCAATAAGGTTACAATAACTTTTGAAAATTGATTTTTGCAGCAATGGGAGTTGTACAATTTTGTTCAGAATAATTCAAAGGACTAAAACATACAATATTTTTATCAAGATAGTTCAGGCCATTTTGGAGTAAAATCAATTTTTAAAATTATTTTATAGGGTTTTATGGGAAAATCTCAATTGAAAATCTAAATTTCAAAAAATAAAAATAAAGCCTCAATATACCATGGATTAGTACATAGACAACAAATTTCATAAAAATTGGACTACAGGTGTGGTCTGTAGCTCTGTACACATCCACACATACAGACAGACATCACTTTGAAAACCATTTTTTTGGGGTTCAGGGGAACCCAAAACGGATATCTACACTCAAAACTCAAAATTTTTGATTGTATAGGCTGGAGAAAGTAAAAATCTAATTTTGAATCGGTTAAGTCAGGTGTACCGACTTTGAACAAAAGGGGAAATTGTGGGAAAGGATAATCATTAAGCATCTCAAGGACCGTTTCCATTACAGTTACTATCTATTATTATCTACAGAACAGACTTTCTGTAAATCTATATGGTGTTAAAGACCAAATGTGTACATATACTGTGTTTTTGTATGTGAAAACTATTAAAAATTTGAATATATGAAATTAGGGATTTTTGGAACTCAACTTATCCTCTTACCCATTTGACCAACTCTTCTAATTAAGTTGCTATTTTAGTCTTGAACATTTTCAATTTCAATTTTTAAACATAGATATTCTTAAAGTACCGTTTAAAGTTATTAAAGTTTTTAAGGTAGCCGTTTCAGTTCAGTTCTTAGAATTGAAAAGTTTCACATACATTATTTGTTTACTTACATAACTACCTAATTAGTTTTACTTAACAGCACGGGTAACGGACCAATGAGGTTCAAGGATTAAAAGAGAGAAGAAAAATTTTAATGTTTTGAACTTCAGCTAATCAGCTGTTTGCCGGAACCAATTTAATTGTTAACGATTGGTGCAACTAGAGATTGGTACAAGAGTTGTATGGCAATGAGAGGTAATAAACTAAAACATAACCTCTCTTAGAAGTTTTGAGTAGTGATAATTGGTAATTAAGAACGAGTCTTAGGTAAAGTAGTGTACACAACTCACATAAATAGTGTTGACAACACTCGTACCTTAAATTTTCTACTCGTGTCGTTAACACTATCTTTATGCAATCGTTGTGTTAACTACTATAATTCTATGAAAAATCTCTTAAATTTGTTTCATTTGTTGCAGCTTCAGTAGATTTTACTATTTTTTATATAAGTTTTTATAGTAATTTTATTTGTCACCAAGCGGCTTGCTGAGCGAGTCAGAAGTATGAGTGGGGTTCTGAAAATCCCTCAATTTGTTGGGTATTAGCTGTGAGTGAACAGGTCTTGACAAAATAAACCAATATTGATCTAACTATTGCTGTGGCAGGTTCCCTCTGGAGTTACATCTCGTCCATTACAACAGCAAGTACTCAAGTTTCAGTGAGGCTATACACCATCATCCACAAGACGCCCTAGCTGTTGTTGGGGTTTTGTTTGAGGTTTGTTTCTTCTTACCTATCGCTGATAGGTTATTATGTTGGCAAGTAGGATGGGTAGCTGAATGGTTAAGCGCTCGCCTAACAATCATAAGGTCGCCGGTTCGATACTGAAAAAAGTCAGTACCTAGCTTATTGATGGTTTGAAACTGGACCCAGCTGTCTCTGGGCTTCAAATAAATGATCCTGGCTGATAAAACAGCCAATCTTAGTCAGTAAAGCTACACAGATTATCACACAACATTCTACACTCGTATTATGGGTTAGGCCCGCCGCACATTGGAGAGAGGCGAGGTGCAGGCTGGAGCGAGGACTTTTTCGTGTCACCGCACATTGAAGAGAGGTGGGATAGAGGTTTCCTAGCTTTGGTCCTACTGTCGCGAGTAGAGAAATATTATTTGGACCTTATTCATTCTATTTGTGAGTTTAATAATTTAGTTTGACTCTAATCGCTATCCGAAAAACGTAAAAAAACGTTTTTGAAAACGTGATTACACGAAAAAATATTAAGCCATGGGGAGTATGTTTTAACTACTGAACTGCCAGACCGGTCTTTTAGAGAATATTTTCGTGTGAACAAACAACAGTTTAATGATATCCATAACTTGATAAAAAGTGGCATTAGTGGAAAGGAATGCAAAGCTCAAAAACATATAGCCATCTGAATTAATGCTCCGTTTCTATATCTTTCACTCACAAAACACTTGAAACCCAACGCAGGCGCGAGCGAGGTGCAGGAAAACTGTATTCCAACCACAACGCCAAGGAGGCCTGACAGAGGCTGCCACGAAGCCTCTGCTCAATGTGCGGTGCTCCATTTAAACACGTGTATTACAGAATAGTCGCGCCTTGCCTGCACCTCGCCTGCACCTAGCCTCGCTCCAATGTGCGGCGGGCCTTAGAATACGCACCTAGGTGGCGTCCCCATCTCTAATATAAATACACATTAGTTTGAAAAAAAAATGTCTGGTTAATTGTATGCGTTGACAGAAAATCCAGTTTAACTCCATGTAACTCAATTTTACACCAATGGCCGGAACAAAAAATTCACTGGCTTGCCCAGATATTTTTCACACCCAATTATTTGTGTAGTTAATTTTTTTTTTATTGTGATAATCATTATAAAAATAGTAGTTGATAGCGGTATATTTCATCAGTAGGGCATCAGTAACTCTTTTTTAACACAGGATTCAGTGTTTTTGTTTATCATAAAATATATGACATTTATGAAAACATCATTATTTTTTTTTATTATATGTAGTAAGTATACATCTCATCATTCTCATCTTTGTGTTTTTAATAGGGGTGAGAGTTCTATAGTATTGTTTGAGAAAAATTATGTAATTTAGGTTTCAAGTTCGGGTATTAGAAACTTATTCATGTTATTTATTTTTACTAGTGCCCAATTCGAGCAATTGCAAAGTATTACAGGCGTTATTTCAAAACAAATATCAGTCATAATTTCCGATGACTTAAAAGAGTAAAGATAATCTAATCAATCACTCCACTACAGTTATCGAAACTGAAAACGCTCACTCCACTCCAGTTATCAAAACTGAAAACAAACTCACTCTGAAAAAGAAACGCTCTTTGTGTATGATGTGTTTACTATGAACAGCTGTTTTAGTATGCAATTTAGACAAATTATTCGTCTTTTTAAATAAACAAAATCTTTTCTTCATAAGAAATACGTTAGGATTTTGATGGCCTGTGGAGCAAAGCCCGAGGTCTTTTATTACAGGAATTGGTGAAAGAGGGCGTATACACAAAAAATACTTAATTTTGACACATCGTTCGTAAGTATCCGTCCATTATTAACGGAGGAGTAATCTTTCGTAGAAATCGCCTTCACGTATTATACAGGGTGAGTTTTAATTGTCCCCCCCCCCAACTTTTTTCTACATTTTTTTCAAATATCAATCCCAGACCACTTCCAAACATTGTTGGGTAGTAAGTACTTCATTTTGACAAGGTGGCCATTTCCGGCCGCCATCTTGGATCCGCCATATTGGATGCAAAATTTTTTTTTTCAAATGTAAAGGTGGGGTTGTGACCCATTATTTCGAACTACTTTTTTAAGCTGAACTTAATTCCATGATCCGTTTTTCATTTTCATTTTTTGATTTTGAAATATTGACATTTTTAACAAAAAAAATTCAATATTTCATAAATAAAACTTGATAACAAAAAATGGATTGCGGCATTGTCTTCAGCTTAAAAAAGTAGTTCGAAATGATGGGTCACAACACCCCCTTCATATTTAAAATAATTTATCACATTTCAAAATGGCGGATCCAAGATGGCGGCCGAAAAAAATACATTAGTCATAACCAAGTGAAAATAGGTCGACAATTACTGGTAGTGTATACTTATCTTTATCTAGCACTATTTTGAGATTATGGTCTTAGTTTGTAAATGCACAATGTTAAAATGGGCTAAAAATAAAGTTTTAAAAAGCCCTCATAACTTTAGAATGAATCAAGATTTTTTTAAACAGTTTGCGGCATTGTAATCAGGGTAAAAATTTAGTTCGAAATAATGGGTCACAACCCCACCTTTACATTTGAAAAAAAATTTTGCATCCAATATGGCGGATCCAAGATGGCGGCCGGAAATGGCCACCTTGTCAAAATGAAGTACTTACTACCCAACAATGTTTGGAAGTGGTCTGGGATTGATATTTGAAAAAATGTAGAAAAAAGTTGGGGGGGGGGGGACAATTAAAACTCACCCTGTATACATGTATATAAGGATTTATTTATTTATGTATTATAATCAAATTACGTCAATGTTTTACAGGTGATTTGTTTAAAAACTAAAATCTTTTCTAACAATCAAACAACCAACATAAGTTACCGAATACTTAAAAATAATCATACATTAGTTAGGAAACCTCCCAATGAATAAAAAGCCCTCTCCAGAAGTCATATCTTAAGTTCACGTTTTAAATTATCATAAGTGTGTTTTTTTTGTTGATATGCAATCAATTTCTTGAGTGCAGGGCTGAGTGCCAGTTGCCTAAAAAGTTGACGAGGGTCAGTTTATAGCCTGAGGCTTGGCGGTGTGAGTGCAAACTAGGTGGTATCAGTGACCAGTTGGTTCCACGGTGCGGTGGGTATAGGGGTGGAAAGATCAACCAGAGGAGGGGGGGAAGGATGAGCTAAACTTATTTGAGCGTTGACGGTTTTGACAGTTTATGACCCCCAAGTCAAAAGACTGTTCTACTCACTCCGTTTCTCCAATTTCTTTCATTTTTGAAGGCACTTATTATAAATATTGTCTCCCAAATATTATGGGGACGAATGAAATAAGTTTAGGTTTCGTTCAAGCTTCAAAAGTTCTGTTTTTTACCACTACTAGTTTCCATCTTGGTTTGCTATTGTAATATATCCGGTTTTTGTATGCAGAAAATAGAGAATGAATAACTGAGAATTTTAAATAAAAAATTTTCCTCAAAGTTGAAGGACATAAACAATACTTAAAAAGAGTCTTGTTGCATTTTTAAATTTTGATTACTTTTTAGGAGTCAGAGAACGGAACAGAGGCCTTGGATCCATTTCTGGAAGTAGTGAAAGGAATAGCTGGCCGAACTGGGTTGAAAGACCGTCTCCCTTCTCACTTCAACCCTTTAGACTTCCTGCCAGAGGTCAGGAGCAGCTTCTACAGGTATTCTGGGTCACTAACAACCCCACCTTGCGATGAGATTGTCACCTGGACCATCATGGAGACCAAAGTGCCTGTGTCTAAAGAACAGGTATTAATTAACCTTGAAAATGTTATTAGATGAATACTAACTTACATATTCTCCACATAGTCTTCATTTCAGAAATAGGTTGAAAAATGATGTATTAGTAGTAGAAAGAGAATGAATTGGGAAACATGCAAATTATTTGAAAGCAATCATTACTTCACCTGAGTAGTCTCAGGAAATATTTTTTGCAATGAATGGAAAAATATTTAAAAAATATATAAAAATAAACATAACCCCTTCTAAACCTCCTTTATGTACAAGGACTTTACAGGAAGTTAGGAATGTTCTGTCTGACACATCTAGATGCACGTCTTTTGTGCTGTGCACTTTATAAGTACAGACGTCTTCACTTCATCAGTGACTATCCTGCCATCACAGCCATGGTGTCGTTGCACTGCCTGCTGAAAGTATGATCTGCAATCTAAGATATCTTGTTTGTTCGTTGTTGTTGGTTGAACGTAATATTGAATAAAACCTTGATGTAGTTATATAGGATTATTATAATATAGCCCCCCTGTATGGCAAATAATTGGTGCCTGCGTGTTTGTAGCGATATACTACAACCACTGGGGCATAGTGAGGTGTTCATAATCCTCGGTTTAGACATACACCTTGTATCATCGGATTGGACGAATCTTTTAGCTATGTGGTTGTTAGTGTAACCTATAAACATGCAGGTCACCAATGGCCGTTTTGATACTTTTTTGCAAATAAGAAGTTTAGCTACTTCCTCTCTATATCCCTTAGATTCTTTGTTTGAAGTTCATTGTTGATGATGGTGAGTTAATGTTGTTCAAAGGTTTATTGCGGACATTTTCCATCAAGATGGTAAAAAACAATACACAACGTTTCAGGATCTGGAATCTGATCCTGTCCTCAGATGAAAAAAAACTTAACTTTAAGTTAAGTTTTACTTAACTTTGGACATTAGTGTTTTGAACATAGTTTACCAGTTTTGTGATGACATTACTCTCTAAACTTGTGTCTCTAGGTATGTTTGCTTTAGTTATAATGATACTTGAATGACTTAGCAGATGTATTGTGATAATGAAACTGTCTGAAATCCTGCAACAAAATAGTAATAAACTATCTCAACAGTACTATACAATTTTGTGCAATATTCTGCAGATGGAAATTTTCAAGCTAGTCCACATTCCTGGACATGACAATGACCCAATGGACTTCAACTATCGCAGACTTCAAGACCTCAACAAGCGAGATGTCTACCTTCTGTCAGACAATGGAGCTGCTTCTATATCCTGTGCACTGAGCCTGATAGTGTTCTGTCTGCTCAATACTTGGCTCAGATGAAGACGTAAACATGTTGTTATAAAAACAATCAAGTAGCAAATGTCCCATATTCTGTAGACATTCAAAGGTCAATTACCTACTATGGGTATTTCACATTTGATGCTCACCAAAGTGTGAACTATCAACAATCAGTGTTTGTTTGATTTCAGAATAGTTTATTACCTGAATAGAAATAGTTTCCCACCGCAACTTTTGATTAAACTTTCATTATGTTCGCTTGTCTTTATTTGATGGATTAGATGTTTATTGATGTTTAACAATCAATAAACAGTTATGAATACTCGTCACTGACCTGAGCTTACCTAAATCTTTTGTTTTATTTCCTAGTTAATTAAAAAGAAATAGTTAGCTATAAAAATTGGAGGTGGAAGGATATGTTCAAATCCAAACCATTGTGCCTTTAAAATAAACCTCCCTTTCTCTTCTGCTGATTCAATACTAAAAATGTAGGGTTCTGTCTGTTACATCCATGAATTATCTAGACAAACATAGCTGTAGGTATTTTAACTAACTAAAAGACAATGTTTCAATTTAATATTTCAACATTATATTGCTCTTCACATTTTTTTTTTTTTTTTTTTTTTTTTTTTTTTTTTTTTTAACCAACCAAAGAAAGGTAGTGTAAAATCTTTAATGGATCAAATTTTGTAATACAAGATTAGTTAACTATCATTCCAGATGAAATGTGCTCTACTTAACTCAAGCACAGACAGTCAGTTGCCGTTTTTATAGTTTAGACTTTCAGGCTTTTAGGCTTTGGACTTTCATTGTGATCTACATTTTATAATTTTAGTTTAAGACGATATATTTAACGTGATTTATTCGTGTAAATAGTTATTGATACAAAGGCCAAATGTACAAAATATTTTTATAAATTAACTACGGTAATAGTCATTTGAATGAGTCATTATGAATGTAAGTTAAGTGATTATTGTTTTCATGGTTTATTTGTTATAATTCTGTGAATATTAAAATGGCTACACATCAATGTGTAGCCAGCCTATCAATATGTTTAATTCAGAGATGTAATGAAATTTCGGACTATGTTATACATGTATTGTATAGTCTGAATATTAAAGGTAAAAATCACTTTACATTAGTTTCACCATAGTACTAAGTTCTTTCTCAACCGTACTGAAATATAAATTGTCTAGTCAATAGAACAAGCAGCACAATAGCTGTTTAGTCTAATATTCCTGTATTTATAAAATTGATGAATAGTTTTTAATTAATAAATATTTCAAAGACTTGCTTACAATTCAGTTTTTACCCTGTACAAACTCAAAATATATTTTTAGGCTAATGAATTTTGGTTTCTTTTTAGAGGGGTTTCTACCTTGAAGGGTAATAATACAAAATTAAAAGGCTCAATTAAAAAAACAATTTATTGAACATAACATAGGAAAATTAAGCTGAAAATTTACCTTACCGGTAGTAAGAAGACTTAAAACTGAAATCCTCGAATAACTATAACTTAACAAGGGTTAACATACAAATATTACAAAATTACTTGCAACAATTTGTCTTTGTTTATGTGCATCAATCTTGAGACAGTGTGCTTCATTTTGTAAGATTAAGAAAAGTTAACAAAATTAAACCAAATTATTTTTCACCACCATTGTTATTTTTTCATTTTTTATTATTATTGTGGTGAATAGTGGTAATAGGGTATTAGAGTGTGGTGAAAAATAGCTTTTGTACCACGGACCGAAATGGTTTTGCAGCTCTCGATCCAGTAAAACCTAATTTTCGGCCTTCGGTACTACTATTGTTGTAATCTGTATTGTAATAAACTACACACATGTAATTTGTTTTCTTGCTGTTACAATTATCAGGAAATACAAAACGATTAAAGGAATATGAAAAGTATATTAACTAAATAATCTCAAGGTAAGTGACATATACTATTAAGTAGGTTCACGAAACTACTATGAAGGACAATCAAAGTTAATTATATTTTGAACCAGGATCAAGTACAATTGAAAAAAATGACATTTTTGAACATTATTAACTTTTTAAAGTCTTGGGACAGATAAAAATTCAAAATATAATAAAGATTTAACTACAAAACATCAAACATTCACTGGACATAAAATTAACTATATATATATATATTTATTTATATATTCAGTGATAAGATACCTCTTTAGAGATAAACAAATCTGCCCACCTGGAGTCGGGAAAAAATCTTTTCATGGTAAGCATAGGTTGATATGCACACAAAATTTGTTTGTAAAATAAAAAGCTGCAAACTGACTCAAAAACAAACAGACAATTGGGTCAAAAATAGCAAATGTTGTAGATTTCTTAAATCTGAGTTTTGAATCTTTAAACAGCTCCCAGAGGTTGGACGTATTTCACTAATAAAGACCATTAATTCAACATGCATACTAACTAAGCCATGCTTACAATTTATGATTTTCTTTTAATTTCTAGCAGGCACCCAAAAATTGCAAATTGAATATATCTTTCAACAACTGTCATTTTTTAATTGGTTGTCTATTTGAGTTCAGGATTGCAGCATTGCATTTTAATGACAAAGGCCTTTTAATTTGATGTGCATCAACCTATGTTTACTTTAAAAGATTTTTTTCTGATTTTTAGTGGACCTGAAGAGGAAGCATATCACTGAATATGCTAATTATTTAAATTATTTTTTATCCAATTATTCTGTTAGGTGAAAGGAGTAGGCCTACCTTGATCATTTTTTGTATTTAATATCACTAATCGTCAATAGAGTAGTTAAGACGACAACAGATGTCACGTACCAAGAGACTTACAATAAAGACCAAAACTAAAATAAATGCCATTACACTAAACAAATAGCACTTTGAACACAGAAAATAATCATTACACACTTATCAAACTTATCCAAGAGATTAAATTAGAAAACTCATAAAATGTAAAACAAAAGCGAAAACCGACATTTGCCAAACTACTAGCAACATAAAGATTATTTATACAGTCGATTTTGTAAAGAAATATTGAAAACTAAATATTGTCTCCATGAAAATTATAATTTGGTACAATTTACTGTTTCTATAATAAAATAAGTTAATTATAAATAAAGTTCTATTTTATGATATACCCTTAAATTCGGCTTAAAGAATTAATTGTGAAGAGCGTGTGTGAAGATTAAAAGAAAGGTTCTTTTTCAAATGTTAAAAAACTTTGGTAAAATAGGTGGGAAGAAATAGTAAATAATTTAAAGGATACTTTCTCTTTTTAAAAAACCAAAACATTCCTCTGGTTCATACTTACAACAAATGTAAGAAAATCACTTAAATGTCTATAGTTAAATAAGAAACAATCTGTCAACTCATGGACTGAGTTCCTCCAAAAAACAACAAAGACATTATCTTATTATTAAACCTACTCTAGGTAACTTAAAATTTGAATTATCTTACAAAAAGTAACAAAAAAGTCATATTTACATTACTGTACATCTTAACTTATAACAAAATTATCACATTTTTAAAATAAGAATTCACAATTTACAAAGAGATATTTACACATGAGAGTCTGACGTATCTTCTGAAACAGAACAAAAACATATCTAAATTGAGTAATATTGTAGAGAATGCCAAGTAGTATACTAACATCCTGACTGGTGTTGGACTTTCACTAGTTTCCTATTGTGTCTGAATTTAATAACTAAATTCAGTTTTAGAGATAATTTCACATTTTTAAAATGCTCTCCCCTTTACCTGGACTCAGATAAGAAATACAGAAATATCAACCGTTGATCAGGATGAATCGGGCATCAAAATAAGAGAAGACAAAATAAAAAAAAAACATTATCTTAATTTTTGTTATGTTAATAGGAGCCATATCATAACAATTATTAAATTATAGGTAAAATGTCCTTAAAAAGATTAACTCTAAAAAACACTAAGATAACGCTTCTTGAAATAGCTACTTCCCTATTGGAAATTCGCTAAAAGTATATTATCAAACATTCGCACAATATTCAAACATAAATAACATAACATATAAATTTAACATAACTGTGAACAATCCTACTTTGACAGTTCTAATTGTGTATCACAGCTTTATGTAGCTGCTTAGTTTCAATTAGCTGTTTTCATAAATGAAAAAAAAATTGATAGTGCTACACCCTGTAGCTTTTTAATGCTATTAAATACAGGGTGGCGCAGAGAAAAGGAAATTTTGAAGTCGTTGTTGGTACACCTGTAAGTCTCATAGGAATGGGAAACGGTCCCTCGGTGTCATGAAACGGTTAAATCATGACGCCAAGTAGTAACGGACATTTATGTTGTTATTAATATTATTATGTTATTGCCCATGACCTCTCGGATCGTTTTACATCGATTATTTGTATTCGACCTTCCATCTTTAGTTTCAGATCTTTGCCGATCTCACGGATATCTCCAGGTATCGATGGGGTAAAGGTTTCCCTGATCCTACTCAAAATTAACGTACAATGCCCGGTCTTCCCGGTTTCCAGGTCGGCTGGACACCCTGTAACGGAAATATAGTCATCGTCCGCCACAATTGCGAGAAAACCAAGATTATCCCATGGTCATGTGGACATCAACATCGTTTTCCACAATCGGCAAAAAAATTAAGATCATCTCCAGCGGACATCATTATTGTCTTACGAGAGCATAGCAAAATCCTATATCTCCCATGGTAACAAAAATATAATCATCATCCTCCATGAACACAATCAAATCTTGATCATCCCCCACTCTTGGAAACGTGATCATTGTCTTCCATGACCACGGAAACGTAATTGCTGTTGATCGTGGTGAAAGGGTGAACTTCGCAGACACGTTTTGCGATAGCCTTTCTTTATGTGTGAGTCCTAGGACGCTAGGTACGAGCCTGAGATTGTTTTTCACATTACTTCAGGCTCGACCTAGGGGTTGCGGCATCATCACTTAGATAACATCCATTGGTGATTAGGCGGATTTAAACCCAGAACCTCTTGGACCGAAGTCCTGCGCTCTAACCACTAGACCAGCTCACTTCCTTGCGATAGCCTTTGAAACATTTTGATCATAAAATCCCAGCTCGAGATCCATTTTCTGACTTAGTGCTCAATTCCTTGAGCTTGGAGCCTATGCACGGCTTGAATTGAAAATCGAGCCGCTCGTACACCTCTACATCTAACATATTCAAATTTGTGTTGATGAAATGAGGGAATAAAATACATAAAATACTTTATTAATAATTGATGTAAAAAGGAAAGATATTAAAACATTAACACTTCAAACTGTGAACATATTAGGACAACATAATAAAATATAATCAAGCAGCTGATATTAAAAGACACATTAAAAAGATATTTGATTATATAGCATTAAGCAAAGCAATACTATATAAAATCCTCAACATTCCCCCTTAATCAAACATCTTTTTTTATTTAATCTGAGTCTTTAAGTCCCAAGTCCGTCACAAAGTTATTAAATTTTTCACGTGACAATGATTTGGTTAAAATATCAGCCGTCATATTTTCAGTTGGCAAATACTTAATTTAAATGCACTTCTTAACCATATTCTTGACCGTTAGCAACAAGACGTGCTTTGAACTTCTCACGATCACCATCTAC